GAGCACTGTGTCCACAGGACTCTGGGACAGGGGCACTCGCAGAGGGACGGGACGGCCAGCCTCAGTTACTCCTCTCCGGGAACCCTACTTTAGGCTTGGCTTTTGGAATAGCCACTCGAGGTGGTTCCCAAGTCAGGGCGCAGGGCGCGTTGCCCCAGGTTCCTCGGGAGGGAACGAAGCCCCCAGATAGTTCCTGGCACCTGAGACCAGGGTGGGGGGCGGGACCGGAGGCTGACACCAGTGGCTCCCGTCTGGGTGTTGAGACCAGAGAGCGCCCCGCCCCCCTGGCGACGTCTCCCCGCACCCCTGGGCCCTGGGCTCCCGCTCCACCCTGGAGACGGGCGGGGCGTCACAAAGGCCCGCGGTCCCCATGGCAACCCGCGGGCCTCGGAGGTGCGCGCTGGGCGCACAGTCAGCCGCGTGGTTCTCTCCGCTCCGGGAGGCAGGGCAAGTGGGCGCGCCAAGAGGCTGGGCGCGGGCCGGGGAGGAGGGCAGGTTGCTGGGGGAGGCGACGGGGGAGGTGTCTGGGGCTTCTGGAAGGCCCGGGAGGGTGTAGGTCTGGGAGCCCGGCCCCGGGCGCAGAGCGGCCCCTTCCCCAGAACTCACAAGCAGCCCCGCGGCGCTTTTCCGACTGACAGCCTGGGAGGCATCCCTGAACCGGTGGTGAGACCCAGGGGCCAACAGGACTCGGGCTGGGATTGCTAGAGGCACGCTTCACTGCATCCCAGTACCTTTATGGTGGTGCCCAGGGCCTGCTCTCGTTTCTGCGCCCCCGGAAGGTGGCCTCTGGGGAGGGAGGCAGACTTGGGTCCCGACCTCACTGTCACTTAGCGGGTGTGGCCTTGGGCAGGTCACTCAACCTGTGAGCTGTCTTCATAGTTCATCCAACCCTTGGGACAACCTGAGGTCTCCCACGTGGTGCTGACCCAGCGGCTATCTCACTGCCCTGGGGGTGGCCGGGACCTGGGACGCCAGCCAGATTGCTGGCACCTTCTCCAAAGAGCCCCAGCTTGCAGGGCCAATCCTTGCGTCCCGGTCCTGGAAGGACAGCTGCACCGGCCCCTCCACGGCCCCCCAGAGCTGGGAACCCAGGCAGGAGTAGCACAGAAGGAGAATCAGGCTCTGGAGTTGACGGCTGGGGTCAAACCCTGAACTGAGAGCAAACTCCGAAGCATGTCAGCCTCAGGCGCCCCATCTGTGAGATGAGGTCAGGGGACCTTACCACTCTGAGGGGTTTTGTGTGCAGTGAGCTCGTTAAAGGTAGAGAGCGTGGACCCGGTAACTAGGAGCCGGCGCGATTATCCCTCCGAGCTGAGGCTGGGGCCACCCTGCCACCCTCGCTGGCTCCAGCCACCAACTGGCCTTGTCTCTGGGTGAGCCCTGGCACTTTGCTCTGCACCTGCAGCCAGGCATGGAAGGTCTACAGGGCAGTGGTGTCCCCAAGGGGGAGTCTGGTGCAGCACACACAGGATCACACTGAATCCTCTCGACTGTCCCGAGGGAGCACCTTCACCCCACTCAGACGAGGAACTGAGACCTTGGCCAGGCCACGCAGCTGGTCAGTGGGCTGGGGTTTCTGCCCCAGAGCTCATTGTATCAGCTCCTCCCTGTGCCATCACGATTGACCGTCAGTGGAGTGCTGGCCCCTCGGTGTCCAACTTTATGCACGTCTGCAGCCTGCCGGCCTGGCCCTCCATCAGGCTCTTTGCAGAGGGCCATGCTCTGCCCGCAAGCTCCCCCCGCCCCCCGGCCCAGGGGAGGACAGAGGGACCCGTAGGGAGGGCAGTGGGCCCGAAGTCACCCCCACACACAAATCCTGCCCTGAGGGAGCCCCTGGGCGGGTGGCGGAGGCCAACTGACGTTCAGCTCACACCCCGCCCTCCGCCCCTGCTCCCAGACAATGAGCTTGCAGGTGACGGGCCTGGGCCTGAACAAGATGAAGCTGGACAGTCCCCCGTCCTTCCTGGACCAGGAGGAGGCGGAGGAGGCTGACGATCCGCAGCTGCTGGAACCGGAGGCCTGGAGGACCTACATGGAGCGCCGCACCGCCCTGCGCGGCTTCCTGACCTCCGACCTGAGCCCCCACCTGCTCCGGCGCCACCACGCCCGCACGGAGCTGCTCAAGAAATGTTCCTACTACATCGAGATCCTCCCCAAGCACCTGGCCCTGGGCGACCAGAACCCGCTGGTGCTGCCCACCGCCATGTTCCAGCTCATCGACCCCTGGAAGTTCCAGCGCATGAAGAAGGTGGGCGCGGCCCAGACCAAGATCCAGCTCCTCCTGCTCACGGACCTGCTGGAGCAGCTGGACCGCGGCCGCGCCGAGCTGGGCGCTCTGCTGGGGTCACCCGACCCGCAGCCCTTCCTGGCGGGCTGGGGGCTGGTGGAGCGCAGGCTGGCGGACCTGGCGGCCGTCATGGACAGCTTCCTGGCCATGACGGTACCTGGGCGCCTGCACATGAAGCACCGCCTGGTGTCCGACGTCGGTGCCACCAAGATCCCGCACATCCGGCTCATGCTAAGCACCAAGATGCCCGTCATGTTCGACCGAAAGGAGTCGGTGGCCCACCAGGACTGGGTCAGCCTGCGGTGGTTTGCCACCATCCAGCCGGTGGCGCCGGAGCAGTTTGAGCTCCGCTTCAAGCTGCTGGACCCGCGGACACAGCAGGAGTGCACGCAGTGTGGCATCATCCCCGTGGCCGCCTGCACCTTCGACATCCACAACCTGATGCCCAACCGCTCCTACAACTTCACCGTCAAGAGAGCCGACAGCTACACGCTGGTGTACGAGCCCTGGCGGGACAGCCTCACGCTGCAGACCAGGCCGCGGCCCCCCAAAGGGCCCACCCCCGGTCGGCCGGGCAAGCCAGGCCCGCCCCTGACCACGCTTTCCGAAAGATGATTTTCTAATATTTATCCACTAGTGAAGAGGAGTATAAACACACACACACACACACACACACACACACACACAC